ATTTTACCAACATCCTGTACCATCCCATTCAAGTTTTGAAAGTTTTAAAAAAGCCCGAGAATCAATTTTCACTCAAACTGGTGGCAACAGCAGTCATGAATTCACTTTTGGAAGCTAATTTAAACCACCTACAAAACACAAAACCACTTTTGTTTTGGGACAAACATCCCAACATCAAAAGCTGGGTGGCCAAATTTCTTAAAATTTCAAAATTTCACATACAGACAAGGTAAAGTTTGCTGACTAAAATGGTCTTATTCAAATATTTAGCAAATTGTTTTGACAAAATATCATCTGAAAACTTCTGCTTATTCTTTGATTTAACTCAAAGCTTCTGATAATTTAGCAGCTTGTTTGCAAAACAGATTTATGGATTTTGGTTTTACAATATGTTCTTAGTAGTAGACGTTTGAGCATCAGGATTTTTAGTAAGCAAACTATGCTATTCATGTATTGAGTATGGAATGGATTACTACTATTGAAATAATTTATTCCCTTCAGCTGACTGGGATATGATGAGTCTCTGCTAGTTCAACATGAACTACATGTTTCCTCCACAACTGCAAATTTCGGGAATTCATTGTTGAATATATCTATTGAGTCCATAAGCATGACTCAGAACTTCTTGGTCACTTGCTATTTCAGACCTCAACTTCACAAATTTCCAATCAATCAATCTCAAGGTGCACCATCTCATCTTTAAAATATGCATTTTAGTCTTCCAAATTTAAACATGGGGTCAACAATTTCAGATCATAATGAGAGTTGCAATTTTTTCAGACAACTCCTCCAGACTCATCTTTAGTTTTCATATTGACACCCCCTTTTTGTCTTCCATCATTATTTTTTAATGTCACTTCATCGTAGCCATCTTCCATTCTAACACAATCATTCCCACTTCTTCTTGCCTTTTTCCCTGTCTGCGTTTGCTAAAGAAATTGACACATCTTTCCGCAGATGCTGCTGAACCTGTTTCCAGCATTTTTGGTTTTATTGCAGCTTTACAGCAACTGTAGAATTATTTGAGAGTTAACATTTCATATATACAATTAGCTTTTAGCATTCACAGAAATGTAATCTAAGAAACATAACAGCACACAAGGTAGCCATTTAGCCTATTAGGTTCATGAGATATTGACAAATACAACATATAGTCCAAGCACCCAGATCAGATGTAGCACAGCTAGATGAGAATAACAATCTCCATGTGCCTCAGCCCAAAGTTTGGAACGAATTAATTTTCTACATGAATCATCTTCAGTGTACAGTAATCTCTTGCAGCTTATTTGGGAAGCTGTGGTGCAGTGGTAATTTCACCGGACAAGTAATCCAGAACCCAAACTGATGCTCTGGGTAGAGGAGTTTGAATCCCACTATGGCAGATGGTGGAATATGAATCCAATAAAAGCAAGTCCAATGGCAACCACATAACCACTGTTAATTGTGTAAAAACCCATTTGATCCACAAATGACATTTAGGGAAAGCAATCTGCTGTCTTTTCCTGGTTTGGCCTACGTGTAACTCCAGACCAACAGCAATGTGACACTTAACCAGCCTATGAACACTCGGTTCGCACTAAACAACTGCACCTCCCAGTCGCAAACCATTTCAACTCCCCCTCCCATTCCTCAGACATGTCCATCCTGGGCCTCCTGCAGTGCCACAACGATGCCACCCGAAGGTTGCAGGAACAGCAATTCATATTCCGCTTGGGAACCCTGCAGCCCAATGGTATTAATGTGGACTTCACAAGCTTCAAAATCTCCCCTTCCCCTACCACATCCCAAAACCAGCCCAGCTCGTCCCCGCCATCCTAACATGTCCTTCCTCCCACCTATCCCTTCCTCCCACCTCAAGCCCCACCCCCACCTCATACCTACTAACCTCATCCCGCCCCCCCCTTGACCTGTCCGTCCTCCCTAACTCCCCACCTACACTCACCTTTACTGGCTCCATGCCCGCCTCTTTGACCTGTCTGTCTCCTCTCCACCTATCTTCTCCTCTACCCATCTTCCCCTCTCTCCTTATTTATTTCAGAACCCCCTTCCCCTCCCCCATTTCTGAAGAAGGGTCCAGGCCCGAAATGTCAGCCTTCCTGCTCCTATGATGCTGCTTGGCCTGCTGTGTTCATCCAGCTCTGCACCTTGTTATCTCATGACAAAAATTCAGTCAGTTTGTAGTTAAGTGTTCAAGTATGCCACCTGCTTTAATAAAAGAAAAATCAGGGCACAAATACAGTATTTCCATCCAATTAGGATGCTGAACTGGAATTAAAAAAATTTTTCTTCCTGGTGAAGGAATGACAATGATTGCTTACTTACCTGTTCTTGGGCAGCATTTAACATTGGTTCCTGGATGTCAGTGTACATTCGCCTTAAGGCATTATATCCACCTGGGATACTTTCTAAGTTGCTAAGTGCTCGGTCTTGGTTTCGCATCATTTCCTGCATCATAGCTGGATTTCGAGCAAGTTCCAAAGTCTAGTTGGAAAAATGACAACAGTTAAACTAACCAGGCAGACAAAAGTAGTGCATGCGTTCAAAAAGACAAATTAAAATATGACCAAAACAGTAGCTCTTTACACAGAATTTAGACTCAATGAAAATTATGCTTGCATCAATACACTTGCTAAAATGAAAACATTTTTAAAAAACCATCTATTGCAAGTCTCTTAAATTTAGTCCCAAAGCATTTGAGACAAATAAAATTGTACTAAGTATGGGCATATGCAGCAGAATGAAAAGAGGCAATTCAGCCATTACAACTGCTCCTGTCTTTTTTCTCTCTGGGAATTCTTGAGGTTTTCAGGAGACATCAACTTGTTGACATATTGAGAAGGGAATTTCATTTGCTTGGTAGAAAGAACAGAGTACTTTTTGCAATGCAATTTTTATTGATTTTCAGGACATGGAAAAAAATGTAATCTCTTTACTTGCTCATTCTGACTTACTTGTCTCATTATGTCTGGGTTATTAAGCATGTGACTAATCTCTGGATTTCGCTGAATCAACTGCTGCATCTGTGGGTTAGTCACAATTAATTGTCTCATCATGTCAGGATTAGACAGCATGTTCTGTACAAACGGGTTTTCCATTATCTGAGACATCATTTCTGGATTCGACATGAGCTGTCGTTGCATCTGAGTCTGTAACTCCAGGAAGTTGGATGAATTCAGTCCCAAGCTGCTCAAACCTGCAAGTCCTCCCAATCCACCTGGAACACACAAGATAACAGGTCAGTGCTGGAATACAACACATCAAATACGTCAAACAAGTTCAATTTTTTTAAAAAATGTATGTTGCTTTAAGTGCAATCTCAACAGCATCATAGGTTCAGCTAGCTTCCACACACAACCACAAATGAATAAACCTCAGGAGGAATCTGCTGCACTGCGTGGAGTCATAGCAAACAAAGATTGTGGGAGACGAATTATCCCAGCCACAGGACATCACTGTAAAAGTTCCTAGGCCCAACCATCTTCAGCTGCTTCATCAACGACCTTCTACCATTAAAAGGTCAGAAATGAGTAAGTTCACTAATGATTGGATAATGTTTGGCATCATTTCTAATATGTCAGAAGTATTCTGTGTCCATATGCAGTGATACCCAGGCATCATGCAGGTTTGGGCTATAGATGGCAAGTAACAGTCATGCCACACAAATGCAGAGCAATGACTATGCTCAATGACCATTGCATGATGTTCATTGGCTTTGCTATCAATTCATAAATCTGGAAATAAAAAAGCTAGTCTGGCAGGAACCAGGAAACCATTGTCAATTGTTTAAAAAATGTGGGTGAAGAATTTCTTTTTACAAAATGGGCTGACTGAGCCAGCAATGTTTTGCCCATCTCTAGTCTCCCTTGACAAAGTAGTGGTGACCTGCCTTCTTGAACTGCTGCAATCCATGTGCCTGTTGGGATAGGCCCACAATCCTTCTACAGAGGGAGTTTCAAATTCTGAATGAGCAACATTGAAGGAATGGGGATAAATTTCTAAATTTAAAAAAAAAACTGAAAGAACTGCAAATGCTATAAATCAGGAACCAGAAAGAAGTTGCTGGAAAAGCTCACCAGGTCTGGCAGCTTCTGTGAACAAACATCAAAGTTAACGTTTCGGGTCTGGTGACCCTTCCTCAGAACTGATGGTACCTAGGAAAATGTTGGGTTATGTCCAGAAGATAGGGTAGAGAGAGGGGGTAAGGAATAAGCGATAGGTGGGGATAGAACCCAAAAGAGACAGAAGAACAGTTGGACAAAGGAGTTGATAACAATCTAGCTAAGAGGGGGAATAGCTGTTAATGGGGATTATTAGTGGCTAACAATAGGTAGTGTGAAATAGCAAGCTATGTGATAACAAAGCCTGGTGAGTGTGGTAGGGGGCTAGGACATGGAAGAGTTCACAGGCCCTAAAATTATTGAACTCGATATTGAATCCGGAGAGCTGCAGGATCCCATGCGGAAAATGAGGAGTTGTTCTTCCAGCTTGCACTGAGCTTCGTTGGAACACAGCAAGCGTGAGACAAAGATGCCAGCCAGGGAACAGGGTGGTGTGTTAAAGTGGCAGCAACAGGAAGCTCAGGGTCATTTTTTTGCAGACAGAACATAGATGTTCCACAAAGCAGTCACCCAATCTACGCTTTGTTTCCCCAATGTACAGGAGAACACACTGCGAGCAGCGAATGCAGCCAACTAGAGATTGTGGGAACTGCAGGTACTTCTAAGTCAGGGTCGTAAGTGGCTTGCAGAAAACCATGCAGGTAATGGCATTCCTATGTATCCAATGGCCTTGTCCTTCTAGATGATAGTGGTTGAAAGTTCAGAAAGTACTATCCAAGGAAGCTTGGTAAAGTTCTGCACTGCATCTTATACATGGTGCACACTGCGGCTGCTGTGCATTAGTGCTGGAGAGTGTAAACAGTTGAGGATATGGTGCCAAGGAAGTGGGCTGCTTGGTCCTGATTACATCAGGCTTCTTCAGTGTTGTTAAAGCTCTAAGTATTCCAGATAAATGGGAAGCATTCCAGCACAATCATAACCTGTGCTTTGTAGACTGTGGACAGGCTTTAACAAGTCAGGTGAGTTCCTCACTGCAGCCTCCGACATATTTTTGTAGCAACAATATTTATTTGGTTAGTCCGGTCGAGTTTCCGGTCAGTGCTAACTCCAGGATGTTGGCAGTGGAGCATTCAGTATCAGCAATGCTATTGAATGTCAACCAATAAGAGGTCAATTCTCTTGTTGGAAAGCGTAATTGCCTGGCATTCGTGAGATGCAAAAATAGAAATTGCTGGAGAAATTCAGTAGATCAGTGGATTCGAAGTGTTGACTCTGCTCTCTCCATAGAGGCTACCAGACCTGTGGAGTTTCTAGCAATTTCTGTTTTTGTTCCAAATATCCAGCATCTGCAGCTCTTTGTTTTATTTTAACTTGCAATGAAAATGTTACATGCCACTTGTCAGCTGAAACACGGATATTGTTTTATTTGGGCATGGACTGCTTCAGAATCCAAGAATTCACATTGTAACAAAGTGCTGAGTGGTGGCTAAAGAGGGGAAGAAAAATCTGCCAGGCTCACCTCGTCTGGTCTCCACGTGTCTCGAGACCCACGGCAATGTGGTTGACTCTCAACTGTCCTCAAATGGCTGCACAAGCCATTTAGTTTGAGGGCAATTAAGGAACGGCAACAAACTCTGGTCTAACACCACCCAAGCCCCGAAAATAAAGGTTTAAAAGAAAAAACTTGCCAGATTAGGTGCAGTTCCAACAACTTTCATGAAGCTTGACTCTCTGCACAACAAAGTAGCCCTTTGATTGGCATCCCATTCATGATGTTCAACATTCACTTCCTGTACGACCACCATCAACATCAACAAGATGTGCTGCAGTAACTTCTCAAAGTTCCTCTAACAGCAACGTTCAAACCTACAATCACTATTGCGTAGAAGGTCAAAGGCAGCAGATGCATGGGAACAACACCATCTGGAAATTCCTGTCCAAGCCCTTCACCATCCTGACTTGGAACTTTGTTACTGTTTCTTCACTGTCACTGGGCCAAAATCATGGAACTCCCTAACGGCACTGTGGGCATCTCTATTCGAAGGACTGTGGTGGTTAAAGATGGCAATTCATTATTACCATCTCCAGGATGTGTTAGAAGTGGGCAATAAATGCCAAAGATGCCCACATCCCATGAACAAATAAGCAAAACATAACACCAGGGTAGGCCAGGGTACAGCAGGTCTAAGTGAGTCCAAAGACAATAATTGACTAGGTTACACATGAATAACAATAGCACTTCCCTAACATATGCAATCTGATTCACTGTGTTTAAACAAGACAAAAACATTTCTAACTTACACCTCACCCCTTTATTTTAGGAAAATGCTGATGGTTGCACCTTATTCCTTGGCTAAACAAGCAGGAAGCTAACAGCAACTAGATCCCTGTTATCGCGACTTATGTGGCTATAAGAAGCTACTTTCAATTTTCCCCTCTTTATGCCTTGGAGCTGGAAGATGGGATGTGGTGGTGAGAAAAGTAACATAAGTAGCTTTACTTTCCCCAATGCAAAATTTAATTTGTTGTACATGACAGATCATAGTGAAAAAGAACACACCTTAAAAGAACATAAAAATTAAGACCTCTCAAGGCGCAGAAGCACAAGCAAAAGATGGAGCTTGTCTGATTACATTCAAGGATCAGAGGAAAAATTGCACAGTCCCTTCCTAAATTATCCTAAACTGTTTTCCTCGCATTCCTGTTGCCCTATCCAAAAGGGGATAATATGACAGTGCTTGTAAAATGCACTGGATCAGGACGTGGGAGATTTGACACACTGGTTGCCCTGGTCAAGTTTTCTTGGCTTTGTTTATAAACTAATTCTTTCCCAATCTCAAATGCAATCTGCATCAATTTCAACACAGGATTGTAAAAGCACTTTATATTTACCAAATGAAGACCAACAATCATGGTAATGAAAAGGTTCTTCTCTTGCTGTGGCAGCACATTCAGATCTAACCTACTTTAATGAATAATGAGATGATTTGGAAGAGAATTTAGGGCTTACAGTACTGAACAGTCTCTTACCACTCAAGCCACGAAGCTGTTAAGCTGGTAGCCTACTCATGACTTATTTAACTTTCTATTAATGAGACTTACCAAGGCTACTGGTAGTTGAGGCCGTACTACTGGATGTTGCTGAAGTAGCTGCAGTACTGCTTTGGCTGTCAGGTTGGCTCTGTTGCTCTGGAGGCCTTAAAGACAATGGGAGACTTTTAGAACAACTTTTTGTTTTTTATTTGTGGAATGTGAAAGCTTTAAATGTTGATTACAGTGAAGTACATTTTTGCTGAGATTATGGAAAACTACACATCTCAGACATTTAATTTCAGCTCAAGCAAGCCCAAATTTTAGTAGTAAGGTCTCTTAACTTTGTGCCTTAGGTCCACATCAGAACAGCATCTTCTTTTACTGCCAAAATTCACTGGACTCTGAGGCGGTTCTGGCAGATTGGAAAACAGCAAATGCCACAGCATTTTTAAAAAATGGAGGCAGACGAAAGGCAGGTAACTACTGGCTCATTAGCTTAACCTCTGATTGGGGTAATTATGCTTGAATCTTTAATCAAGGAAGAAATAGCAAGACGTCAAGATAGAAACTATTCCACAGGGCAGATGCAACATGGGTTCGTGAAAGGCAGGTCACGTTTAACTAATTTACTAGAATTCTTCGAGGACATACCGAGCACGGTGGATAACAGGGAATCAGTGCATCTGAATTTCTAGAAGGCATTCAACAAGGTGCGCACAAAAGGCTGCTGCATAAGATAAACGTGCACATGGCGTTACGGATAATGTATTAGCATTGATAGAAGACTGCTTAACAAACATGAAGCAAAGAGTGAGGATAAATGGGCGTTTTTCTGGTTGACAAATCAATGACTAGTAACGTGCCTCAGGGATCAGTGTTAGGACCGCAACTGTTTACAATTTACACAGATGACTTAGAGTTGGGGACCAAGTGTAATGAGTCAAAGTTCACAGATGGCACTAAAATGAACGTGTATGGCAAAGTGTGCAGAGGGATTATAGGTAAGTTAAGCAAGTGGGCAAGGGTCTGACAGATGGAGTACAATGTTCATAGATGTGAGGACATCCATTTGGTAGGAATAACAGCAAACTCAGCTATTACTTAAATGGTGAAAAATTGCAGGTGCAACAGGTAATTAAGGCAAATAGAATGCTGTCCTTCATTACTAGAGGGATGGAGTTTAAAAACAGTGAGGTTACACTGCAGCTGTGCAGGATGTTGGTGAGGCTACACCTGCAGTACTGTGTGTAGTTCTGGTCACCTTACTGGAGAAAGGATATACTGCACTGGAGGTTCACTAGGTTGATTCCGGAGTTGAAAAGGCTTACGAGGACAGACTGAGTGAATTGGGAGTATACTCCTTAGAATTAAGAAGAAAGAAGGGGAATCCTATAAAAACATATGAAATTATGAACGGAATAGATAAAGACAGAAGCAGGGAGGCCATTTCCACTGGCAGGTAAAACTAGAACTTGGGGGAGCAGATTTAGGACTGAGTCAAGGAAGAACCTTGCCAAAGGGTTGTGAATCTGTGGAATTCCCTGCCCAGTGAAGCAGTTGAGGTCACCTCACCAAATGTTTTTAAGGCAAAGATACATTTTTGAAGAGTAAAGGAATTAAGGGTTATGGTGAGCAGGCAGATAAGTGCAGCTGAGTCCACAAAAATATCAGCCATGATCTTACTGAATATTGAAGCAGGTTCAACAGGCCAGATGCTCCTATTTCTCACCTTCTTACTGCAAAGTTCTATTTCCAACACCTGCAACCATATGGTCTCAAGAGATCTTATTTTAAATGCAACTTCTCAGCAATAATGTGTTCTGGGCTAATGCCCAATCGTCAACGAATGGGTACCATCATTTCTGATAACATCCCTGCAGTCGGCAGACAGAGAACACTTCCAGTCTGTCAAGACTGGATTAAACCCAAAGCTGAAGATATAAGGTCTACTGTTTTAAGAAATGGAGTTGAACCCTACGTTTTCCTTTCAAAATCCTCAACTCCTAATGATGGTTATTCTGGATGTCTAAATGACTCAGTGCATTATAAGCTAAACACACAACTTCCATGTTTTTGTATATGTTCCTTCATAAGTTGGAATCGTAAGACAAGATGCTTTTTAGCTTTTGTTCAGTTAGTGCTCTTTCGCAAGAGTTGAAGAAGGGAGGGTGACTGATGTTATTAAGTGGACTTTCAAAGAGTTTGTTCACTAACAAAGTTAAAGTGCATGAGATTAAAGGAGCATCAGCTGTATAGATGCAGAATTGACTAAGGGACAGAGAACAGAGGCAGGTTGTTGTTTCTCAGGCTGCAGGGTAGTAGTGTCCTCAGAGGTCAATATAGCACCTCTGTTGTTTCAATAACTTGAACAATAACTTGAATATTCACTTTCAAACCAGGTCAAAAACAAAAGGGAACATCTTCCTGTTAGGCTCATTGCACATCTGATTTTTTTTTAAAAAAACAAGAACATTCCCACTGATTATCTCGGCAACCAAAAGCAATAAATATTCAAATACTAATATTGCATCAAATGTTCTACAATTGCTGCTTTCAAATTGCAATAAGGACAGTAACTGAGGGGAGAAATGAAACACAATCCTGTGGCAAAAATGGGTGAGAAGACATTTAGAACAATTCCCAAAGCCAAATGACAAACTTGTTTTGTCTCCAACTCTTTGGTATGTTTAACCTCTACTTCTGAGGAGGAATGAGAAACAGAAGTAGCTACTGCTGAAGGTTTTGCACTTAGCATGCACCAGCAAACATGGCCCTTTTCAAAGCAGACAAGTTGCCATGACTCGATGGCCTGCATTTCAGGGTTTAAAAGGAAGCAACTACAGAGACAAGAGGATCCAGAAGTCACTGGATTCTAGGAGGTTCCAGTAGATTGAGAAACTGGCATTGTGATGCCCCTGTTAAAGAAGGGAGGCAAAAAGCAGGAAACTACAGGTCAGCTAGCCTAAAATCCGTCAATGTGAAAATGTTAGTCCATTTTTAAGGACAAAATAGTCTGAAATTTAGAAAAAGCTTAACATTATCAAACACAGTAAATATGGTTTTGTGAAAGCGAAATCATGTTTGACAAACCTGTTAGAGTTTTTTCAAGATAAAACTAGCAAAATTCATAAAGGGAAATCGGTAGTTAGTGTATTTGGATTTCCAGAGGGTATTCAATAAAGTACCACATACAGGTTTATTGCACAGGATAGAAACTCTCAATATTGGGGGTAATATAGTAGCACAGATTGAGGATATTTTAAACACACAGAAGATAGAGCTGGGTTTAATGGGTCTTTTCAAGTTGGAAAAAATGCATGGTCGGTCCTGTGGCCTCATTTATTTGGCATCTATATTTATGACTTAGGAGGGGCAAGTGTGTGATGTATCCAAATTTGATGATACAAAAGTAGATGGAAGGGCACGCAGTCATGAGGACATAAGGAATCTGCAAGAGGATACATACAAGTTGAGTGAACGGGCAAAATTCTGGCAGATGGAGCAGACTATTAATTAATGCAGACTCCAAAAAAAGTGCATAGGGATCTTGGTGCTCTTTTGCATGAAGCATAGAAGAGTTAGCACTGCAGGTGCAGCAAATGGAATTTTTGCCTCATTGCCAGGAGTTGGAACTTAAAAATAGGGGAATCTTATTACAACAGTACATCATGTTGGTGAGGCTACACATGGAGCACCGTGTACAGTTTTGATCCCTATACGAAAGGACGTACCTTGTCATGGGCCAGACTCAACCCCCTCAAGACATATCATGTAGATAGCCTAAGCCCCAACTTTTATTTCATTTGAAAGCAAGTATAAGATGCAACATTCCAGATGTTATTTGATTGGTCAAACTACTAGGCTTTAATCAAAGCACACTTTATTCTTACCACGATTAAAATACAGACAAAAGATGAACTAGCATAACTTTAACTATGAATTTACTTAACAAAAAATATTTAACTATTACTCATCATCAACTGCTCCAATATAACAGCATCACACAAGCACACTCTTGGCAAAGGCAAATTCAGCAAAACAGATATGGTCACTTGCTATCTCCAGTCCAGAAGAAAGGAAAAAAACTGAAAGAATGAATCTAACAGCAGAGATAGAACTCAAGCTTTTTGCAGCAGCAGAGAGAGATCCATATCTAGCAGCTTCAACAACTGAAAGCAAACTAAAACCCTGGGTCTGAGAGCCTAACTCCACCCACACATGCTTCTTTTGTCTAGATTTTTTTTAAAAAAAAATGCTATTTACTCTGCTTTCCCTAGGGCAGATACCTTAGCCCAGGTTTACAACAAGCCTCTTCAAGAGCAACAGGATAGAACAAATCCCTCTTAAAGGCATATCTCATCACAACTGACATACAATGTAGTTAAAAGACTATCTACTAGGTTGATTAAGAGGTGAAGGTGACAACCTATGAAGAACAACCAACAGATTACGCCTTTGGAATTTTGATGGTGGTCTTATTAAAAATCTCAATCTTGATTGTTTTAGTAATGTAGATGTTAAGATGATGCTTTTAATAATGGAGGGATCTTGAACTTAAGGACCCTAGTTAGAGAATAAAGGGGAAAGTCATTTAAAACAGAGATAAGAAATTTCTTATCATCTCGCAGTAGTGAATATTTGGAATTCTTTACCATAGAGAATTGGAGAGTCTGAATCACTGGAAATATTTAAAGAGGAAAGATACAGAATCTGTTTCTAGCAGAAGCAGCATCATTAACTAGGGGCCTGACTTTAAAATATTTGCCAAAAAATAGATGATGACATCAGGAAAAACTTTGTTTTACATATAAAAGCAGAAAGTTGCTAAGAACTGCAAATGCACTACTTGAGAAGGTGGTTAAAGCAGATTCAATAAGAGAAAATTAGATAAATATTTGAAACAAATCTTGCAGAACTATAGAATAGAAGCAGGGCATTGTGGCCAATTGGATTGCTCTTTAGAGCCAGCACAAGCACAATGGGAGAATGGTCTTTTCACTGAAGTGACTTGGTGGAGATACTACAGGCAAAAAATGACATCGCACTATTTAAATCATTGAAACATTTTTCAGCCAGCCATTACATCTCCTACTCAAAAGTAGATGCAAACAGTAAAGCAACTTCCAATATACTCAGCAGCATTCTCTCAGCTGCACTGGTTCATACTGCCTACAATATGCATCAATATTTAAGTTCTATTTTGATGTGCTTTCGCCCATTACCTCAAATGTAGCAATTCTAAGCAGAACTGCACACAATAGGACAACAGAACTGCTTTGAAATGGAGATACTAAGCACAAGTTATTTCAAACAGGTCTTCAGAAATCGAGGATTGTACTCTGATCAGCCAATTTGCTTCCACTGTGTTTGAAATGAATTTCATTACACATTTGCACTTTTACCTGTTTTGAGTTTTGATAACTAAATGAACTGTTAGTCCATCTTGTATTCCATGCTGCGCAAGTGTGTCGATGTCTTTAAGGATTTTTCCAGCAAATATTAGCACAAGTTGTTCTGGTTGTGCCTTGAATCGCTTTGATATATCTTCCTTGAACTGGTTAAAAAAAATATATAAAGTAATTACTTTGCGAATAATAATCTTTAACATCTAGCTGTTGTTTCAGACAAATACAGATAAGTTCAGGCGGTTCCTGGGATGCAAACGGATTCCATTCTTGGGTCAGTTGGCAAGTCAATTTGTACGCAATAGAGGAAATAGAACCATAGAATCCCCACAATGTGGAAGCAGGTCATCAAGTCTGCACCGACCCTTTGTGTATTTTGTGTAAAGCATTGCTGCAGTCATGCTGGAAATGTGAAGTGACATTCTGGAGTCTTACAGTAAATTATGAAGTGAACAATAAAGAAATCATAACAATTCTGGAATTATGCATATGATTTTATCATGCAACACGAACGTGTTTAAATAATTGATTATACAATTGTTACAACTGTTGTCAGCGCGAAGTGGTATGTAAAAGTATTGAGAAAAAGGAATCGAAAGGAAAAAAAAACCAAACCAATCACCTTCACCGGGATTTGGATACACAGAACCAATATTATCTTAATCTTCGCAGAAACTGGTTTTACTAGCTACCATGACCTAGGATTACAGGTAAATTTGAAATTTATTTATCAAAGAATACTAATAATAGCATGCTACAGATTAACAGAGACTATATTGCTAAATAAACTTTATAAGCTCAGTGCTGCGCTGGAGGTGCGGGCGGTGTGAAGAAAAAGTATTATACATTCCAAAGGGGCTTGAAATTAGCACAAACCTACTAGTCTGAGGTTGGTATTTCCCATCAAAAAAAAAGGATAATCTAAGGATGATACATGCTCATGGCGCTTGCATGTGAAGGTTATGAATTGTCACTTGAACTATGGAAATACATTCAATGAAAACAAACAACTTAAAATGTATATGGAATTAGCACTAAGCTGAAAATCAGTAATGACAATGATAAAGCAATGTCAGGTAATAAAGTTAATACAAATAAAAAGCTGAGAGGACATACACAAAGTCTAAACATCCTTGAACATTGGAACAGCCATGCAATGTATATAAGATAAACATTTTAAACCGGAAAACAAGAAAAGTACTGTTTGTAGAGCGTGTACAGGAGAAGTATTGATTAAAAGGTAACATTTTCACATCAGCCAAGCACCCTGGACTACGACATCTACTGCAGCATAAAACAGCTCATTATTCAACACCCCCCTCACTGTAGTCCTATTAGGACTACAATGCCCACCCATTTCTACAAATATAAATAAAAGTCAAAAAACTGCAGATGCTGTAAATCAGAAACAAAAACAGATGTTGCTGGAAAAGCTCAGCAGGTCAGGCAGTATCTGAGAAGAGAAATCAGAGTTAACATTTCAGGTCCAGTGACCCTTCCTCAGAACTGATGGTAGCTAGGAAAGATATTGGTTTATATGCAGAAGATAGAGTGGGGAGGGGGTAAGGAGTAAACAATAGGTGGGGATAGAGCCCAAAGAGTGAGAAGAGCAGTTGGACAAAGGAATAGATAACTATCTGGCTAGGAGGGTGAATAGCTGTTAATGGCTAACAATAAGTAGTGTGTAATGGTAGACCGTGTGATAAAAAGGCCTGATGTGAGAGGTAGGGGGCTAGGGCATGGGGGAGTTCAGGCCTTCAATTATTTAACTCGATATTGAGTTTAAGGCAGCTGCAGGGTCCCCAAGCAGAAAAAGTGAGGTACTGTTCTACCAGCTTGCGCTGAGCTTTGCTGAAACCCTGCAGCAGGCCTGAGACAAAGATGCTAGCCAGGGAACAAGGTGGTGTGTTAAAGTGGCAGGCAACAGGAAACTCGGTCATTTTTTGCAGACAGAACATAGATGTTCCACAAAGCAGTCACCCAATCTACGCTTTGTTTCCCCAATGTACAGGAGACCACATTGTGAGCAACCAATACTAGATGATTATGTGAAATGCTGCTTCACCTGGAAGGTATGTTTGGGCCCTTGGATACCGGAGGAGGGAGGAGGTAAACGGGCATCCTATCTTCCGCATATAAATCAACATTTTCCTAACTACCAGAGTGTCACCAGGCCCGAAATGTTGTTAACTCTGATTTCTCTTCACAGATGCTACCACCTGCTGAGCTTTTCCAGCAACTTCTGTTTTTGCTACAAATATAAAAACAGCTCCCAGTTCACTGGAACTGAAGTTAAAATACAATCTTCTGCTCTATTACCCATTACAGTGACAATTCTGAACACAAATCCTACTGCAAAATACGTATCTATTGCTTTCAGCTTGTTTCTTTGAACAAAATGAAAGTCTTCTTTATACATTGAATCTTATACTAATATTATTTGCATTTTCACAAAAACACATCAGTGTCCAAATTTAAATCCACCATGTGTCATTTCAATTTGTTCAAAGAATGAAAGAATCAATGAATCAGAGTGTCCAGTACTGTCTTAAACCAAATCAAAAAGTATCCCATCTCATCAATCCTAGGCTGTTTCAAACATTTCAAAATCAAAATAACCCCTGTAGAGGATGTCCTAGGAATGAGCCTTGTCAGTAAGCACAAACTACAACAAAATAAACACTTTGGACATAAATTTGATGAAAAAAATACTTGCAGAAATTCACACTGGGGCAATAGACAATTTAAACAAGCATTGAAATGCTATAATCTGCAGAGGTGCATCATTCTACAGTAAAGGCAAATTGCAGAAATCCAACAGAAACAGAAACAGAAACAGAAACGAGAATGAAAATTTTGGGCCAGTGATACCAATACTTGCAGATCCAGGCTACAATAACGTAGCAAAACCCCAAAATACTACAGATGCTGTAAGTCAGAAACAAAAACAGCAGTTCTGAGGAAGAGTCACCAGACCCGAAACACTAACTCTGATTTCTCTTCAGATGCTGCCAGACCTGTTGAGCTTTTCCAGCAACTTCTGCAAAGTATATCAGACTGAAAACCAGAGACAAGTTCAAATTCCACAATGGTAAGATGTGAAGTTAGATCTGTAGTCTGACTTGTGAACTCACTCCAGAAAAATATAATAGCAGTGCAGTTTCATAAAAATCCAATTGGTTTGCTAATATCCTGAACACAGTAAGAATAATAAATTCTGGAAATGCTGAGCAGATCATGCAGCAGCTTCAAAGCAGAAGTCAGTCAGGTGAATTTCAGGGATAAAACACTTTCTTTGGACTACGGATTCTGCTTACATGCTCTGGCCTACTAACGGCACTACTTGATTAACATTTGGTGCTTTCTGCAGACGAGCAAGACACACAATTGTAAAAACAATTGCTAGAAGGCTACCATTCAGGGGTAACTGGGGTCAACAATAATAGCTTACCAGCATTGTCGACATCCAGGAGAACTTTAAATTATAAGTACTGCAATGCTGCCTCTTCCTTTTTGTATTTCAGATCTGCCATTCACTAGGTCTTTGTTTCCCCAATATGCGTTTGCCTATACTTCTGTACGCATTTAAGGGGAATGTAGGCAATCATTTACGAGAGGATGAAATAAACAATTAATAGAAGATTTCAATGAGGAAAAAAAAATGGAAGAAACCAGAGGGGAGCATAAACAACAGCATGGACCAGTTGGGCTGAATGTCTCATTAGTCAAGAATCTACCCATCTCTGCGTGCTATTAAGGCAACAACCCACCTCCACTGCTCTGGGAAGGAGTGTTCCAAAGATGCTCAAACCTCAAAAAATAATCCTCATCATCTTAAACGGGAGATCCATTCATTTAAACTGTGTCAATTAGTCCTAATCTCTCCCTCAGCAACACACCAGCACCCCAAGCCCCAGTCATTTATCAGTTTTGATGAAGGGTCATCAACTTGATTTGATTTATTGTCACGTGTACCCAAGTACAGTGAAAAGCTTTGTCTGCAAGCAGTACACACAAACCATAGTAAGCAAGGACATACAGATTATAGGGTGAAAAAAAAAACTGGGACAAAGTGAAGCATACAGACTACACAATGCAGGATGTACTCAAGGCAAGTTAACAAGATCAAGATTATTCGGAGTTAGAGAGTCCATTCATCAGTCTAATAATGGTAGGGAAGAAGTTGTTCTTGAACCTGCTGGTGCATGTGTTCAAGCTTCAGTATCTTCTGCCTGATGAAGGAGGTTGTAGCAGAGGATTACTGAGGTGGGACTTTGATGATGTTGGCAGCCTTTCCGTGGCAATGAGAGGTGTAGGTGGAGTCCATGGATGAAATATTAGTTTCCACGATGAATTATGCACACAACCTTCTGTAAGTTTCTTGCAACCTGGGCAAAATAGTTGCCGTACCAGGCCGTTATGCACCCAAACTGTATGCTTTCTATGATGTAGCTGTAAAAGTTGGTGGGGTCCTTATGGACATGTCAAACTTCCGGAGCCACCTGAGGAAGAAGAGGCATTGTTGTGCCTTCTTGACCATTGCATCTATGTGGGAAGTCAGAGACAGGTTGCCAGTTATCACCACCCCTGGGAATGTGATGGTCTCAACCCTCCCGACCTCCACTCCACTGGGGGGTGGTGTCTGTGCGTGCGGGGGTGGGGGGCATGTTCTCCTTCTTTCTTTCTGAAGAGAATGATCAGTTCTTTTGTTTTGCTGACATTGAGACGGTGGGTTTGTTACTATTGTACCATATCACCAAGCTCTCTATCTCCTTGAAGCATTAACTATTTTTCCATCCAAGATGTTGCTGAGACTTTTCAGCATTTTGTTTTTGTTTCAGGTTTCCAGCTTCCACAATATTTAGTTTTCAAAAGTACTAATTAGCTGAGAATTGTTGTGGAACATATGATACTGTAGAGTTTGTTCTCGCTCTTCCCAAGCCCCATCTTCTTTCTGTAATTTTACTAAACTGTCTGATTAGATCTGTCTCTAGGAGTGACAAGAGTACACATGGAAGCACTCACTTTTTCCTCTTCACAGACAATTTATGACTCCATAAGTACTTCAACATTTTCTCTTTTTGTTCTACAACCGAATTATTATTCTTGAAATTTTAAACTACTTTAATCGCAGGCTACCCTGAAGAGTTTCTAGTCTCAGTCAATCAGTGCTGACTAGAATTTCATCAGCAATGTCAGTTTC